CTTTCTGCAGCTGAAAATGGACAAGATGGAAGCCATACTCTTTGGCTCCCGTCAACGTCTTCACTCCTGTGGATCTAAACACCTCAACCACCCGGGGCTCTCCCTCAGACTCACAAACCAGTGCACAACCTAAGCGTCCGGTTCGACCCCAGCTGCCCTTCCTCCTCCACATCCAGTCCCTGACCAGGACTGCCTTCCTCCAACTCCGCCACATTGCCCACCTCCAACTGTACCTTAGCACAAATGCAACCGAAACCCACTGGCATAGTTTGTCACCTCCTGCCTGGATTACTCCAACGCACTCCTCTCTGGTCTCCCCAGTTCCACTATTCAAAGCTCATTCAAAACGCTGTTGCCTACATACTGACCCGGACCCACATCTCACCAGTTCTGGCCAGGCTCCACCGGCTCCCTATCACCGAACGGATCGACTTCAAGATCCTTACTCTCATGTTCAAATCCCTTTACTCTCTAGCACCTCCCTACTTCTCTGACCTCCTCACTCCCTAATAAGCGGCGCCTCCGCTCGACTGGCACCAGCCTCCACTATGCCATGAAACTGAATCAGCCACTACGCCCTGAAACTCTGGAACACTCTTCCTCAATCCCTCTGCCTTGCCCCCTCTCTGTCCTTTTTCAAGTTCCACCTGAAAACCTTCTTATGCCATGCTTATGGCCACCTCCTCCCTGCCCCCTTGCCCCAGCCCCCCTGACTCATAGTCACGTTCCGCCACTGTTAAGCACTCTGAGATGCTGCCTGGGTGGAGGGCGCTATTTAAGTGCAAGTTGTTGTTGCTGCTGTTGTATACAGGCATACACACTGTCAGTTGTTTCAGAACTAGGCACACCCTTCCTATCCCATCTGATGTTCCCCACCCCAGCCCCTACACTACCCTCCCTTCACAGCTTCAAATCTGTCTTCCCACTACTCTCACCACCACAACCTACATGAAACCGACCACCTGCTCCCTCAACCCCATCGCTATCCTTACCTCCCGCCACTCTTCACAAACCTCTCCAATCGGGTTTCCGTGCCGCCCACAGCACAGAAGCAGCTTTAGTTAAGGTGACAAATGACATTTTGTCCATCTGTGACCAGGACTCCCTCTGCCTCCTTGTCCTCGAGCTCTCTGCTGCCTTCAATACCATTGACCACTCTATCCTCCTCCACCACCTCTCCTCTCACCCTTCATGGTTCTGTCCTTGAATGGTTCAGATCCTACGTCTCACACCATCTCCACAAACGGCGACTCCTCTAGCCCCCGTCTCATGCAACGTTCCTCGGGGCTCCGTTCTTGGTCCGCTCCTCTTCAATGCTCCCTTTTGGTGACATTATCCGCAGACATGGGGCCAACTTCCACATGTATGTGGATGACACCCAACTGTATTTCTCTACCTCCACCCTCGAGTCCAGGACCACTGCTGTCTTGACAGAATGTCTGTCAGACATCAAGTTCTGGATGAGAGCCAACTTTCCACAGTTGAATATCAACAAAACCCTCCTGATTGGCTCCCGTCAGTGCCTCCACATCTCACGCTCTACAGCATCACCACCCAAAGATGCTCACTCCACCTCACTGAGCTAGTCCGGAACCTTGGTGCCGTTTGACCCTCAACTATCCTTTCTACCCCACATCTGTGTCATGATCCGCTCTGCCTTCCCCCACCTCCGCAACATCGCCCTGCTCCACCACTGTCTCACACAGCAGGCTGCTGAAACCCTTGCATTCATAACAGCCAGGCTTGACTACGCAAATTCCCTGCTCATCAGCCTCCCCAAACCCTCCCTCCATAGGCTGCAGATCATCCAAAACTCTGCAGTCTGTGTCTTCTCCCACACCAGGCTCCATGAGTCTATCAACCCTATCCTCGCTCGAATCCACTGACTTCCCATCACACAGAGGATACAGTTCCAGATCCTGGTCCTCACTTTCAAAGCCCTCCATGGCCTTGCTTCCCCCTACCTCTGCGACCTCCTAACCATCTACCAATCTGCCCGCTCCCTCCGCTAAGCGGGCTCCGGCCTGCTTCATGTTCCCTGCCTCACCATTGGCACCATTGTTCCCTGCCTCAGCCATTCTGCTCCCACCCTCTGCAACTCCATACCAGTCCCTCCGCCTAGCTCCCTCCCTTGTCTGCATCAAGACCCATCTTCCCCTCCACCACCCCAATCCCAACCACCAGCTCGGGTCCGAAACAGCGCCTTGTGTGTCCTCCCAATATGAATCGCACTATACAAATGTAATTTTACTGTTGTATTGCAATTCTCCATTTGCATATGATGGTTGAAAAAAATGAGCCATCTTGCAATTCAGAGAATAAAACTAGTATGTGCTACATATGCCTCTCACCCACTGTGCGGATAGCACAGGGCCACCGCGACATTCGTTTCCCCAAGCACTAGAAGTTGTCTCAAGTCAGAAATCCTTCTGTTTAAGCAGGGCTAAGGGTTTTGAACAGAATTCTATATGAAAAAGATAAAATGCCATCATACAGGGAGAATGGTACTCAACAGGAACAGTTACTTTCATGCAGCACAGGGTCCATTAAAATACTCGCAGCTCAATGGAGAAAACTCCTGATATGAAGTCTGCTTCCTGATCAGGATTTCCTATTTCCTGGGCAGACTAGAATGAAAGGCCATAAAGTGTCCTGTAATTATTCACTTGTGAAGCAAGTCACCTAGTGTAGGGATCCGGGATACCTGGCAACCAGACAATCTGCACTCATTGCTAATGGAAAATGTAACTCGGTACTTAGCAAATATACAAGCTGCTTGAAGAATTGTATCCCATAATTTTTGGGGTACACTCTTACCATGAATGAGATTTTACAAGTTTGTCTCTCACCCCCACCCCCATTTAAAGGAAGCCCAAATCTGCTCAGTGAAACTCACAGAGTAGGCATATAACAAGGTTCACACTGGTGAAGAGGAAAGAGGGATGGCAAGATACTCATCAAACCAAGTATCAAGGCTTGAGCTATCAAATGCGAGGATTAAACCAATACAAATCAGTGGGCCAACAGTGAATGGGGATGTTAAGTACCTCAACAATCAAGAATCCTCCAAATGGGTTCATAATCCCTTCAACAACTGAGGCTGGAGGGGGGGTGGGGGAAACTATTGAACCCTATAACAAAAATAATCTTTAAATTAGTTGCTGTATCCTTAATCTTCTGATTAATATGTGCCAAACAAATTCAGGAGTGGCTGCAATGTATAAAATGCAGAACTAATTTTGAAAATGTGGTGAAGCTATCTGGTATTCAAAGATCACACAGCAGCATTTGGTCAATATCCAGTTTTTGAGACGCTGGAAAGCTTACATCCTTCATAATCAATGTTTTGTTTGAAGGCAAAGGCATTGTTCTTGGTCGTCTTTTCATCAACGATGCCTGAAAGTGCAAGGCAAGTCTGGACCTAAAATAAAATTAAAAATCAATATCTGAAAAAAAGGATATAAAGGGTACATCAATGTAAAACAATCAGAAGATTCTCATTGTGTCAAGTATCTTGTTCCAAGACTAATTGCTAACTGCGTATCAAATTTCACCACATCCAGCTAAATTGATCTTTTGGTGTGGTACGAGGGAAGTGTTGCATGTCAGAGTTGGTCTTTTAAACGAGATGTTAAACCAAGATCCAGTCTACCGGTTTTCAGGTGGACTAAATAAAAAAATCTGACAGCACAACAAGAGATGTTTCTCAGTGTCCTGGCACACAATCCTCCAGATTATTTTTTGTCATTTACTTCATGACCATTTGTAGGAGCTTGCATTTGCAAATGGCTTTGTGTTTGCCTGGAAAAAAGTCAGACAGTAATTACTATTCAAGTGCTTTGAGACTTTGCAATGATAAAGTGCCATAAAAAGTCAAGTTTTTTTATAATGGTAAGTCAAAGAAAAATTTTAACCATTCGTGGAAATAGATGGCATCCCCTAAACAGTTTCACTCCCCTTTCAAGTAAGTAACTTTGGTTAATTAACAATAAATAATACTAAAGTTAGGAAATTGTACATACTTCAACATGGTTATAGTCAACCAACCATAAACACAATTTTACAGAAATACAGCAGCATACAATACTATCAAAAACAGAAATGACCCAAACTGACAGAACCGAGCTGTAGCTCCTACATAAAGCGAGAGCAGACATTTGACCTATACATACATCCAAATGCCAATTTTGTTTCACTCTATATTGATGACCAAACTATTCTTTGGTAAATGAACAGACAAAGCAGCAGAATAATTGGCACATTTTCATATCAGCATCAGAATACAAATTACAAGCAAACCACTCAAACCAAAACTGCGGAATTACCAATTTTCCTACTTAAAAACTGATTCCCTTAAATCTTAGCAGCCCCCAAAACTTTTACTACTTGCATAAAACTAATCATCAGGACAACGCGGGTTTTAGAGTGTGTTTATTCTGAAATTGTAGTTACAATGAGTTACTTACTACAAAAGTTAGTAAAAATCAAAGTTTAGCAATAAATGAAAAACAAGAATGTCTAGGAAAATTAGCTGTAAAGATTTTCTATGCCGCTATTAGAACAAGTTTACCAATATGGAATCTATTCAGTTAGTTTCAAATCTTGCTTGGATTCCTCTGCTAATTTACCTTTACGTTTCCCTTTCAAATTATCTAAACTCAAGGGAAATTACATTCAGCTGTTTTGTACAGCATCTCTTCATTTGTCATACATGCTAAAAAAACATTAAAACTGGCTTTCCTGTCAGTGCACTTCAGTGCAATGCTATTCTCAGTCTCTTACCAGTATCTCCACAATGACATGGACTACTAATTTTGAAGTTTCCAAATCTTACTGAGGCTTTCCTACATGGAGTGAAAATGCCATTGCATTTTACAAGTTTGTTTTATTAAAACACAAGGAATGAAAGTGATCACATTCTGAATTATTTGTGAAAGGATTCATTTTAGTTTCATATAAACTGTGCACTCTTTTGAATTCATAAAACTGCAACACCAGGCAATTGTTAACATAACCTTTATTATTGCAATTTGAAGTTGCAAAATAAAGCAGATGACATTTTGCAAATTTTCTTTATATTTATCCTATTGCTATTTTGCCCCCACCCCCCCACCCACCAACAGAGCTTGGAATCAGATCAGCACTGAAAGTACCAGTATTGTAGGATATTACGCGACCATACAACAACTGAAAATTGGTCACTAATTCAGCAGCAATCAAAGACATGACACCAGTTGAAAATAGCATTCAATAAAGGTGCAGTTCACATGAAATTCCATTGCATTTTGTCATTGTTTATTGGGCAATGTGGATGAAATGCTGCTGGATATGTTAAAAAAAATTATATTTCAGAATTATTCGCTGGACAGGAGTCAGTGCTAAGGGGGAGGGAGAAAATGATCAAAACGATAGCACAAATGAAGGATCTTGCATGCTGGGCTATTTTGGCGTTCGTGAGACCGAAGATTCTATATCCTACCTTTGAAACGGAAAAACAATTGATACACTATTTAGTAGTTCAATACTAGATGTATAGAAATATTTTACCAGTTTAAAGCACACCAACACTGAAGCAATTTTTTTTCAAAATTATTACTGTTAATGAGACAGCCGGTTTAAACCAACTACATTTGTGCCATGTTTTGGTGATACCAAGTAGAAAAATAAGTATCAGTGCTGTAGGGGTATGAATATTTTTTTCCTCTGTAATTTGCAACAGTCCTAATGCACAATGAGTTGAGCCATAGAGATTCCTGCTACACATTGCGGTCTGCATAAGTGACCCACATAACAGTTCTCTCACAGAAGAGGGAGAAAAAGACAAATCATGAATGATTTTGCATGTTGCGACTATTTAAGGCCATTCAAGCAATGTTCAACAGGTTTTGTATAGCCGCCTGCTGTGCTTCATTAAGAGATGACATACACTCTGTCCACAATCCTCCCGAACCCTGGAATAAAAAAAAATGCAGGTCTCTCAGCAAACTCAAACTAGTCAGCAAATAAAAACTCATGTACACAAAATACACTTCACTCTACAGTATATTCTGTGAATGAAGCGCTTTGAACCATCTCTAAGACGTGATATGGCACTATATCAATGCAAGGATTATTATTACACAATACTCAACATTTTGACTCCAGTATAAATGTTTTAACACTAAACATTTAAGCTGGTCATTAGTAAGATCCTCTAACTCATGGATCATATGGCTTGGTTCTGCGTCAGAACTGAATTATATTCAAGTAGGACTCCTGCTAAAGGGACCCAAAAGCCACAGTTTTACAGCATGGATCTAAATAGCAATTAGGAACCAAGAATTGTGGCCTAACTTTCCCCATCTAGTCTGGGAATACTAAAGCCATAGATAATCGATAATCTTGAGTTCAAGATCCTTGTCCTAACCTTTAAATCCCTCCATGTTTTGCGCCACTTGACCTGTGTGACCTCCTCAAACCTCTCCATTCGGCGGACAACAGCCTGCTTCATGTCCTCTGCCCCACCATCATCGGTTGGATTTTCAGACTCCACCCCAGAGTCCCTTCAAGTCACCCCTTCCCTCATCTCCTTCAAGGTCTGCCTCAAGACATTCTTCTTTGACTGTGATGACTGTGCCATCTTTCTCACCCCCCTCCCCAATGCAAATTCTGGAGTGTCCAGCACCTTTGAATGTCCTCTCGATGTGAAAGGCTCCATATATCTTTTATTGTACAATATTCTGATCTACATCTCATTTCCATAATGCACAACGCCATGGAAGTATCAGGCAGATAAAATCTTTTGTCAGTCACTGAGAAAACTGAACAATATCAAATTTTCATTTGATTGATTTTTTTAGCGCAAATGTAAAGTTACATCACTATATCCAATGCAACATGAATGCTCCTGAAACCCTTCAGCTTACGTTTCAGTGACATAAAAATGCATTCAGTTATTTTAAATTCAAATACATCTCCATTCGGAAAGGACATCCATCTCTTTTGCTGGGTTCTACTGACCTGTACTTGTCGAATTACATTTGCCAACCGTTTACTACAGCCATCTTCATTCTTTATAGCTTCATTAGCAAGACCATCAGCAATGATGCCAAATATTCTGGGAAGACTGGAATTATTAGGTCCAAGGACAATTGGGTTGTTACTGTAAAGAACAGATTCTGAGTAAGTTTCTGTTTGTGGAAGTACAATTCTACTCTCCAATAAAATATGGAATTATTTCAGATTATAAACTATAGTGAATCCTTCCAAAATCTACACACGCACAAAACTAGAAAACTGATTAAATACAGTTTCACAAAAAATATCAAAACATTCTGGAAATTGATTTGTTTCTTGTGGTTGACCAAACTTACTGGGTTATCCTTCAAATTATGCTCAACTATATGTATCCCACAGCCTTGACAGTAGACCATTCTATAACTGATCCAATACCTCCCCCACCCAGATGAGAAAGAGGGCAAGAGGCAAGCCTTTGGGAGACCTAGTAAATAATAGTTGGGATAATCTGAATAATTATATCCTTAGCTTTGATCGACCTCAAGATACATCATGTGTGCCTGAACAGCGGGGCAGGTTCACATGTAACCCCTGCTTTCTTATTCCAATATTAAAATCTAGAACTTTAATCCTACAGAAAAGCAATAGTTAAAAATCAAAGTTAGTCTTGCAGTTGTGTTTACCAAGGAAATTTGATTCGTAAGTTTGATTATAATTGTTACACTGTCCTGTACTGCCATCTAGAGGCTCATTGGATGTATGCACAAATTACATTTTAGGTTAATAGCATCAGAAAGTTTCTTTGGTTATCAGTCAAACAATAACCAATTGTATGTTCATTGTCCTAATACTAAAAGCCTTCAGACTCTATTGCAGGTTGATGTTTTATATCGGACTGGAGTCTTTGACATTAAACCAGAGGACTCACCAAACTGCCTGTGTCAGGTTATTATATTAACGATCCCGGTCATAACTTTGAAGAACAGAACTTTCCCTATCCCTGGCAGAATTTTCCCTATCCCTGGCTAATTTTTCTTCCTCGTCCAGATTACTAAAATTTATGAATAAAATTAATATAAGCTTTTGACAATATACATTCAATGTTCTCCTAAAAGATAATATTTCCTTTAGTACAGACATTCAGATCTAAGAGATGTGTTCCAAAACCCACATCTGACAAATTTCTCTCTGAATGTGTAAGTTGTCCGTTATCCACTTAGTTTCGTGTGTAGTACAAGCTGTAGCCTATAGACCAAAATGTTTATACACCCGCGTCTCAGTATCAGGATGTCCTCCTGATGTGAAAGGTGCTATACAAATGTAATTTTGCTGCTGTTGTCAGGAGTAAAATGATCAGTTTAGATTTCGACAATGCCTAAGGACTTCTCTGAACACAACCCAAAGAAAGGATAGATTCTGAATTACTTCCTCCTTTATCAGAATTGAGGCACCAGGCTGGAAAGTGTTGCTTAAGTAGAATCCACAAAGATACCACAGTTTCTCAATCAATCCATATCAATCACCTTTCGCAGAACTAGATCTCTGCAGACATTTTGTACTGGAACTTGCTAGGAAAGCTACAATTAGAACCCAATTATAACTATGATTAATAAGTCCAACAAAAACACAAAATAGTATTGTCACATGGTGGAATACATTCTTGGACAGGTTTCCTAAAGCATCCCCATAAGCTTTGGTTCATTACTTAATAATGGGAGCAAATGAAATCCATTTAATCAGCTGCTGAAAACCCAGCCAAATTTAGATCCCAGCTTACTACAGTAATTATATATTTAGAATTGCTATAATCAGTAGGTTATTAGACCGTATAAACACAAGCAACCCTTGAGTGGAAAAAACTTGAGGTTAAATGTGACAGCTTTAGTCAAATACATCAAGTGTACATAACAATCTGCAGGATTCTTTTTAAAAATGCTTTCCCTCCACAAGCTGCAGGTCATTCAGAACTCTGCAGCTCGTGTACTGTCCCGCACCAGGCTTCGTGACCACATCACTCCCACCCTCGCTCACCTCCACTGGCTCCCCATCCCCCAGAGGATCGAATTCAAGATCCTCATCCTCACCTACAAGACCATTCACGGCCTTGCTCCCTCCTACTATCCCCCTATCTACCTGCCCGTATCCTCCGTTCCTCTGGCTCCGGTCTGCTCCACATCCCCCGCCCCAACCGCCCTACCATCGGTGGCCGGGCCTTCAGCCTCTCAGCCTCTAGGCTCTGGAACTCCATCCCCCAATGCCTTCACCGCCTCCTCCCTTTCCTCCTTCAAAGCCGGTCTCAAGACCATTCTCTTTGACCGTGCCTTCAGCTCCCCTCTTGACTCTCTACCCCCTCCTCGCTCCCTCCCTTCCCTCCCCTCACCCTGACCATTTCACCCGTCCTCGCTCCTTCCTCCCCTCACCCTGACCATTTCCCCCCCCCCCAAAGCTCGGGTCCTGACCCAACTGTCCAGCGCCTTGGGACGTCCTCCCGACGTGAAAGGCGCTCTATAAATGGAATCTTGTCGTTGTTTCTAGCCTAAAAGGTTGAGACTCGCAAATGCTGCCATGAATTACACATTTTTAAATACTTTATATTAGTTGACGGTTGTAAAAACTTGCCTTTCAATAAGATCACACAAATAATTGAAAGTGTGAACTGCTTCTTCTTTGTCTTCATGCAGCGGTAGCCATGATAGCCAGTGAGGCAAGAACTCATTCACGTTTACACACTCTGGTCTACATTTCATGATTTTCCCGACTGCAGAAATGCAATTTTCTGTTGCATTAATATTTTCTTTGGTTTTCGACCCTTCCATTTGTATAACTCCTACTAGGAGGGGAATTGCCTCTGTATAATTAAAAAAAACAAAACCATCTTATTACCCAATAATAATCTTTAAAAAGTTCATTTTGTGCCAATAAGCAAATCTGCCTGATCCAATGGGGTCAACAAATTTACAGCTATGAGGAGTAGTTTGCAGAACACAAGAAGTTTGGCCACAATCTAGTCTAGGCATACTCTACTCAGAATCAATTAAATGTTGTGAACCATTTTGGTTCAGAAAACACTATCCTGATGTGTAATAGCCATGCACATTTGTGGCAATCATTAACCTAATAATAATAATACGATGCAGTCAGCATTAAAGGGCCAAAGGAAGCACCTGTAGCTCAGAATTAATAAAATCTAGTTTTGAGCAAAATCATCCTTTATAACAAAGATTAGAATAGATTTTCTCTCCTGATTACAGAAAAAAAAATCATGCATTTAAGGTCTTTTCCTTCAAGTCAATCACAAGCACCAAACTTCTCAGATTTAGCACATTATTTACTGCTGTGTAAATATGCCTTATTCTCCTTTCCCGAGCATTGCGCACAACATGGAATCTGATATTTAACAGAACCAGTTATGATACCCTACTTTGATTTTAACTGCATTAATAAGTGTGTTAAGTTTGGGCTAAGCGACCAATAGACATACAAAAATGAAGCTGCCGAACAAGATTGCTTCTCATTAAAGCAGCATAAAATACAATATACATTTTCTATGTGACGTTAAAGAAAACTGATGCTACATATACATAGTAAACTTCTCTGCTCTAACCCATACATTCATAATCCAGTATCCCCTTTTAATTCCAAAGCTATAACCCATTAAACATACCAGTGCAAAATGGCCTGTAGTTCTCTCCACCAAATTGGGCCATTACTCCAATGCCATAAGCTGCTGCTTGTCTCACCTCAGGACTGTTGTCACAGACATATTGTAACATGGGCCTCAGGAAGTACTCTGCATATTTAAATGAGGTGGGACTGCAATGTTCAATCACATCATCAAATATGCATAAACCCCACTGTTTGTCTGGCCATGGTCTATGCGGACACTATAGAAATGAAAAGGTTGTATTAGCTTTGGATGTTAGGCGAATTGTAATTGAATAAACAATCTTAAGATTGTATTTTATACTTACAATAAGGTTGACCATTAGTGGAAGAAGTTGTTCAAACCATGGCAGTGCTTTTTCCTTATAGCAGCTAAACAATGAGTGCAAGATGTCTGAAATTTTAGTCAAGATGTAAACATCACTTTCGTCCTGCAATCAACCAAAACATTGGATTACTCACTTAAGAATTAAAACTACTGTGAAACTGACCTGTAAACGTTGTATAGCAATACGTTTAGAATATATGTAGCCATACAGCACATGCACATGCAATATCAGAAAATGAAATCCAATTGAAGGATGCATTTTCTCCCCCTCCTCCACCCGCAAGTTAAGTGAATTACCATAGGAATATTTAAAGAAAACTGTATTGTACACATAAATTTTTGAAAAATTACTTCATCTTGTAAGGTTTCTTCAACTTGTTCATCATAGTCTTCATCTTGTCTCTTTGCTGAAACACACAAGCGATTAATGATTAGGTTACAAAGAGACTTGGATGGAATGGAAGTTTTAATGCTTGATGCAGTAATTTCTCCTGCTTACCTTGTCTTAATTCTTGATTTTTAAAGTGCTCCTCTAGTTTCCCCTTCATAATATTTCCCAGTTCTTCAAGATGTTCACTGCTTACACAGCCTTCACCCATCAACTCAACACACTAAAGGGAGGGAAAATAAAACTTAAAAACTATTAAGATTCGAGCATTAGAGTAGATGGGGAAGGACATGAGCAGGAAACTTTCAGTTACTGTAAATCAAGAGCTTAAAGTTTAAATTAACTAGGAAAGATTAGTAATGCAACCAGGTTCCTTGTTCATAAAATAAATGAATTTGTAAACCAAATATTTGTTTCTATAAATAAACAATAAACACCTACCCATGGAACCTTTGTGAACCTAGCATAATTGTGCTTTATCCTTTCTTTATGATAAAAAGTGCACCAAAACTGTAATATGAATCCTGAGATACAACACTAAAGAGCAACAGTCGAAACAAATATTCTCTTAAAATAATGAACTGCCAATGAACTGTGGACGTTCACTTGATTTAAGGCAATCTGCAATGACATTAATATATTTAATGAAATGCTCGCAATGTTCTTCATCAGTATGAAGAAGAAATCACATGATATTACTGATTTCATAATGAACTTCAGCTCTGTTCAAGCCTTTAAATCCTTTAATGACAATGTCTTGCGGCAATAGTGACTGGGACTCACTAACTTCCACTGAAACACCTGCCCATGGAACCTTTGTGAACTTAGCGTAACTGTGTTTTCTCACTTTGATAAAAAATACACCAAAACTGTATTTAATATGAATCCTGAGCTACTACAAAAAAGTGCAACAGTCGAAACAAATATTCTCTTAAAATAAGTTCATTAATATGAATGCAAAATTCTCCCATATGCTCCACTTAAAAAAAATTACCTTTGCAAAAGAATGCATAATTTCAGAAAGAACGTCAGAGTCTGGTTCTGTACCAATTCCTTTGATGAGGGAATCACACATAAAATGCCACATTTGAGTCACATAATTGGGTCCTTGAACCCTAGCACATTCTAGGAGCAGAGGCATCGATTCAGCTGCTGCAACACGAACACGTTTTTCATGGTCAAGGAAGACAGCGTTATATACACAATAACAACTTACACTTGTTTAGCGCCTTTCACATCAGGGGGACATCCCAAGGCAGTGGACAGCCAGGGATTTGGAGGTGGGGGGGGGAGGGTTTGGAGTACAACTTACTATCATCAAAGTACCAGTTGTGGAGTGGAGGGGACGAGGGACATGCAGCAGTCCTTGTCAGCTGAGCGAAGGATAGGAGTGGTGTTGAACAGATTTAACAGGCAAATTTAACTCTTAAAGGACTGAAAAGTTATTTTGGTGCAATAAGTTTTTTCTTATTGGATTTCAGCACTCTAATATTACTGTGGATTCATGTAAAAAAAAATCCATATGGTAAAGCACGGTTTGAAGAATACAATAATTCTTTTTTTAAAAAAGCCACTGAAATCGCACAACAAACGATTTTCAAATACAATAATACTTGCATATGTCTTATCTGTATGAATTGTATAATCGGCCAAGTTGTACATCCACCTGATTTCCTATTAAAGCCACTTAAATTTATATGTACCAGTTGTATTAAGCACCTCAAGACGATGAGGTTCTGGGTAATCACCATGTACAACTTGTGAGTTTTACTGTATATAATCCAAATATAAAAACAATGCCGCTTATCTAAAATTTCAGATCAGCACAATTATGAGCTTTTCTAATCAGGTAATAAAGGAGAATTTTATTCCTAGGATTACTTATAAGATTTATATTAAATAATTTATATTAAATGCAATATATAAAACTGGTTGAAAGATTGTCACATCAATTTCTGAATTTTTGTCTTGCCTTCTGGCAACCAAAAAACACAGAACACAGCACAGATACTCACGCACATATTCACCTTCAGCCACAAAAACCTTTACTATCTTCAAGAGGTATGAATGTACGAAGACAAAACTACAACATCTAATACTCTTGATAAAAGTAGCCACTCATGAAAGGATATCATCGTGGAAGTAAAATTTAAGAAGTGGCACCATCAGCTTTACCACTTGTTCTGTGTACTCAGCAAATCCTTCTTTCAGTTCTTTAGCGTAACATACCTAGAAAATATTTCATTTGCATCATTTTTTCGCTGTAAATACATGCAAACAAAGTCAATCAAAAAACAAAGCAAATCTTTTAAGCACAAGAAATATTTTGTTTTTAAATAAGACTTTTGAAAATATTTATTAACCAGTTGATTTCTATTTCCTAGGAATTACATTTTGCTAATGTATTCGGTTGCTATACATCAAAATATTAACATAAACATTGCAATGATAAAATCAGCAACAGAACATTACCGTTACCTCAAAAATAATAATAATAATAATAATCCTTGCATTTGATATAGCGCTTTTCACGTCGGGAGGACGTCCCAAAGCGCTTCACAGAACACACTGTAAAGTGAATTGACTGTATATTTGTGGGCGAACGCGGCAGCCAATTGCGCACAGCAATGTCCCACAAACAGTCGTAGATTGAAAATGACCAATTTTTAATTATTGTTTTTTTTTTTTTTGGAGGGATTATTATTCTTGAATTCAAATACTTGAATCCTTCAGGATAAAAATTGCAAAATATTTCAAAATGGTCCCAGGGTTTATTTATTCTCTAGAGTTGCACACTCATCATGAACTAGTTAAATTTTGTGATCACAATCTAAGAGCATTTAGTGAAGAGTTTTGTTTTCACAACCTCTCTCCAAAACCTATGTTTTTCTTTTTACATCCATTAATGCAATGTTTCTGTGAAAAGGCACAATCATTGTTTTTTAACCTCAACCGATGCCATACTCCAGCGTAATATAACTAACTCCTTAATTTAGTTCCTGGAATAAACAATTTTTATTCTATAGTTCTAAATTTCCTAGATTGTTTATGAAAAATAATGACTAAATATAATCATTAAAACAAAATGCAAAACTGTTTTAAGTTTATTAACAGAATGAGCTCTCTCACACGTCTCAAGTTTCAAGTTGCTAACTTATTTTTACTTTTCTAGAACTAAAACTACAAATGCAACCCAACTCACCACTTACCAACATTTGACAAGCAGTTGCTTTTTCCTCTAACCCTGCAGTTTTGATTCCAAAGCTCTGCTGATCACCAAGATTCACAAATTCCCATCCATCATCTTCACTCATGTTCTCCATATCTTGTGCTAATAAGCAGAGTGTAAAATGTACTTTATTTTAACATTTACTGTTAAGCTAACAAAAGGGCGACATAACATGGTGAATTTGTCTTCAATAAGACCCATTAATAATAATAATACTTGCATTTGATATAGCGCCTTATCACGCCGTGATAACAAAAATGGCAATGAGCTAGACTTAATTGAGTTCACAAATCAACAAGGGACAGTTCTAGAAACAAAGAGGACAAAAACAGGCACATTCAGGCTTGATTGATTCCATTGCTCCACAGAGACCAATTGTGAAAGAGGAGACCCACGAGGGAAGGTAAGAGATTCATCTTTTATACAGACCACAACATATACAACATAACTGAAGGGTTGAATGCTCAACTCTAAAGCTCCTGTTGAACCTGAGGAAAATACTGTACAAAAATGCGGACTACAAAGTTTAAAGCAGAATTCACTCAGAATTCCAGCGATCACATATTCCCTTGACGAATAAAAATACCACGGGAAAAGTGGTTCAACCATGGTTAACTAGAGCAGATAGGGAAAGCATAAAATTAAAAGAAGAGACCTATAATACTGCAAAAAGAGCAGTAAACCCAAGAATTGGGAGGGCTTCAGAAATCAACAAAGAAAAACTAAGAAACTGATTAGGAGGGAGAAAATGGATTATGAAGACAAACTAGCTAGGAATATAAAGACAGACTGCAAGAGCTTTTTCAAATACATAAAGAGGAAGAGACTAGCAAAAGTTAATGTGGGTCCGTTAAAGGCAGCGACAGGAGGAATTATAATGGGAGAGTCATTTAACAGATACTTTGCTTCTGTCTTCACCTTAAAAGACAATGAAAACTTGGCAAAAATAGAGGGGAACCAAGAAGCTAATGTTAGTGAGCAATTTAGGGAAATTAACAGCAGTAAAGTATTAGTACTAGGGAAACTGTTGGGATTCAAAAATGGAGTCCTGTAGCTCAGTGGTTAGAGCACTCGCTTTGCAAGCGAGAGACGTGAGTTCAATTCCAGGCAGGGCAAAACCTTGGGCAAGTTTCCTTACTCCACACGCCTAATGATAATCTCTCCAAAAAACAACAATAAATTGGTCATTTTCAATCCATGACTGTTTGTGGGACTTGGCTGCCGCATTCGCCCACAAATATACAGTCAATTCACTTTACAGTGTGTTCTGTGAAGCGTGTTGGGACATCCTCCCGACGTGAAAAGCACTATATCAAATGCAAGGATTATTAAATCCCCTGGACCTGATGGCCTGCATCCTAGGGTTTTAAAAGAGGTGTCTGCTGAGATAGTGGATGCTTCGTTTTTGATGTTCCAAACTTCTCTGGATTGTGGATTGGTTCCCATTGATTCGAAGATTACAAAAGTAACACCACTATTTAAGAAGGGTGGGAGAGAGAAGATGGGGAAATATAGATCAATCAGTCTGACATCGTTGGAAGGAAAAATTGTAGAATCCTTAATTAGGGACGTTGGAGTGGGATACTTTCAGACCATAACAAGATTAGGCAGAGTCAACATGGCTTTACAAAAGGGAAGTCATGCTTAACAAATCTTTTAGAGTTCTTTAAGGATGTAACTAGCAAGTTAGATAGGGGGGAACCAGTAGATGTAGTATATTTAGATTTTCAGAAGGCATTCGACAAGGTGCCACATAAAAGGCTGCTACACAAGATTAAGATCCATGGAATTGAAGGCAATATATTAGCATGGATCGAAAAGTGGCTAACGGGAAGAAAACAGAGAGTAGGGATAAACGGGTCCTTCTCAGATTGGTGGGATGTAACTAGTGGAGTGCCACAAGGATCAGTGCTTAGACCTCAAGTATTTACAATCTATATCAATGATCTAGACGAGGACTTAGAACTTAAAATATGTAAATTCGCAGATGATACTAATAAACTAGGTGGGAGAGTAAGCTCTGAGGATAACACAAATAAATTGAAAAGGGATATAGATAGGCTAGGTGAGTGGGCAAGAAGGTGGCAAATGGAATATAATGTGGGGAAGTGTGAAGTTATTCACCTAGGTAGTAAAAAGCAGATTATTTTCTATAAGGGGAGAGACTAGATAGTGTTAGTGTTCAGAGGGATTTGGGTGTCCTTGTACACGAGTCACAAAAAGTTAGTGTGCAGGTACAGCAAGCAGCTAGAAAGGCTAATGGCATGTTGGCATTTATTACAAAAGGGTTAGAATACAAGAGTAGGGAAGTCTTGCTGCAACTGTATAGGGCCTTGGTGAGACCGCACCTAGAGTATTGCGTGCAGTTTTGGTCTCCTTATTTAAGAAAGGACATACTCACCTTAGAGGGGGTGCAGCGTAGATTCACTAGGTTAGTTCCTGGGATGAGGGGCTTGACCTATGAGGATAGGTTGTGTAAACTAGGCCTATATTCTCTAGAATATAGAAAAATTAGGGATGATCTTATAGAAACATATAAGATTCTTATGGGGTTTGACAGAGTAGACAGTGTGAGACTGTTTCCCCTGGTTGGAGAATCTAAAACTAGGGGTCATAGTCTTAAGATCAAGCACAGCCCTTTCGAACAGAGTTGAGGAAACACTTCTTCACTCAGAGGGTAGTGAAATTATCGAATTCTCTACCCTAGCAGGCTGTAGATGCTCATTCCTTGAACATATTCAATACTGAGACTGATAGATTTCTAAAGAATAGAGGGATTAAGGGATATGGGGATAAGACGGGCAAATGGAGTTAGGTTAAAAGATCAGCCATGATCTTACTGAATGGCGGGGCAGGCTCGAGGGGCCGATTGGCCTATTCTTGCTCCTCATTCCTATGTTCCTAAGTAATACACTCTTGACAATACTGTGACTATCAAAAAAAGCATCTCAAATCATTGAATGGCTCCTGGGATTAAGGTTCCCTGAACAGCAAAAATCTGAAACAAGGAAAATATGTGATCACAGATCATCAAACTAGTCTTGTTACAACATGGTCTATTGCGTGAAGATTTCTAACTGGAATCTTCAATAAGGATACTGGAGTGCATAATATTGACCTACAGAAACTCTGTTCCCACACAATCTAGCTTTGGGTTACCAGGAGATACCCCTTGCATTTCTTATTAAGGAATCCAGTTTAAAATCACTGCATGTGAGTTTCTAGTGGCTCAAACCATTCTCTTTATTTTTAAAGAGAAAAGTGGGAAAGGAGCAGATAAGGTAAAATAGCTTAAACCTATACATATTGTGTACTCACTGTCCAGGAGAGCCACTTCGGGTTTTATCGAAGCAGTCTTCATCAGTGGTCCCATAACAACAGGAAGATACTGCTGGAACTCTTTCCCTAGGATTTTACACATTCTTGCCCATGCGGAGATCATGTAAGAGATCTGCAAGAAATTAGAAAGTAATTTGCAGATATAGTGAAAAATCAAGAAAATACAGGGCAGCCAAATTGGATCCAATATCAGATTGCCACATTAAAAGGCAGGGGTTTGGGTAGTCAAATCACCACATACACCATTCCAATCCAGGCGACTCCGCTGAACGTCACTTTCATTACAAAGTGACATTAGCGGGACTTTCTGCATTTAATGTGCAGGAACAGTATGTGACGTTAGCAGTGCTTCCTGTGCACGTGAAACTCTGTTGGCGATAACCTGACAACCTGGAAATCAGCCATTTCAGTGTGAGAAGTCAGCTGCTCCATGCAAGAATCTTTCACTTCAGATATCGTAAACTACTTTGAGATGTTCTTCTACATCGGTAGTGGCCAATCTGCACCCCATGGGGGCTGCCAAGAAGCCCGCCCACCCCAACCCCCCATAAAACATTTGCACATGTCTAGGTAAGTCCGTGTTCGATCAGTAGTGTGTTTTCATTTGTTTTTTGATCAAATATTTCCTGATTTGTGGCTAAATTCAAGAAATATTCAATGAAGAAAATTTATTTTGTTGGCTGACCATGAAGGTTGGCTTGTCAATGGATGATACCAGTTGAGATACTTAAAACATTTTTTAAAAAAAGGCAACAACACATAAATGCAGTTTAAAAAAATAAAGTACCTCAAGAGTCTCATTCTTCACATACCTGAGGGTCATCATCATCCAATTCACTGGAATCAGTTTGAGTTTTCAGAAGCAGCTGCATCACATCCGAGGCATCTTGCATAAACTATAAAAACAACTGTAGTTAGTGATTTACATCCGACTGCTAAACCACAGATTCTAAAATTTACCAAGCTGGATTACCTTATCTTTACCGACAGCAAGGCCTATCAGGCTAATGCACTCAATTGTTTTTCCTCTCAGTAGTCGGAGCTCCTTCTGTATTGCATTTTCTACGATGTGCTTCAGCGATGGCATAAATAAATCATAATATGGAACAAACTTCTCCTCTGCTGTGTCAGCCACTGAAGCAATGGATGTAACAACCTGCTCCAATACCAACTTAGTTCCCTTCTGTATCAGCTAAAAGACAAGATATATTAATATACACACAACTTCCTTTAAATATTTAGAAAAATGTAGCAGCTGAAGCACTGAATCTTGCATTTTTGTAAATGGTCTCCTCTTCTGGGGTTGTACTCTTGCATAAGTGGTCAACCTTCAATTGCGAACCAAAGGGCAGTAAGTAACTAAACCATGGATAATATCCCAGCAGATCCTTTAACCAGCTACCACCAAGCATTTACACCCATGTACTTTCTAATAGGGTCTTCAGAGATATTGGACTACTTATGATTCAAGAGTTGTTTGATAAATACTGTAATTTGTATTTGTATTCTGCACTACCAATTCAAATCATATAAATTTACAGCATGAAGGCTATTTGGCTCACTGCGTCTGTGCTGAATATTTGAAAGATCTGCAGTTTTCTTATCTACAACAGGCATGGTCGAAGATGAAGGTCTTGAGGTGTGCTCTAAAAATGTGGAAGGAGGGGGCAAGGCGAAAAATTTGAGGGAGAAAATTCCAGAGTTCTGGTGCGCAGTGGCCGAAAGCACGGCTGTCGATCTTGGAACGGAGGATACAAGGGACATGCAGGAGGCTGGAGTCAGCCGACTGGAGGCGACGTGAGGAATAAGCAGGTCAGAGGTACGGGAGTGCCAGGGCGTGATGGGATTTGAAGATGAAAGCAAGTTACCTCTTGCAATTTAGCAACCATGATGACATGTAGATGGTTTACTAGATTGTCTAAGTAGGGGAGTAGCAGCGTTTTAGGACAGTCTTCAGTAAAATTGATTAGAGCAGCAGCAGCATGAGCTTGAACACGTGGATTAGCTTGATCTTCCATAGTTTGCAAAAGAGCCGAAATCACCTTTAAAAAATAAAAAGCATTAACTATAGTGAAGACATAAGGGAATTTAATTTTCTAGATTCAAAAAAGGCCATATGTTCAACTGGATCTACTAATGGCTTTGAAAAAGATGTCAGAAATGTTAGGCAGCAATTTTCTGTGGCATTTTCATTCTCAAAATAGTAATAATGATAATCCTTGCATTTATATTGTGCCTTATCACGTCGATGAGACGTCTGAAAACGCTTCAAGGGATATACTCTAAAGTGGACTGACTGTATATTTAGTGCACGAAACAATGATGCATATTGACAGGTGGAATGGAAATTGAAAGATCACTGCTCACTTCTGACTAGACATATAATTCACAAGAAAATTAGATATTCTGATATTTGAATTAGTGGTATTTACCTTGTCATGAAATTTTCTTTGAAACGTTGGTGCAAAATCTGTAGCCATCTGGCCAATTGCATTACAAGCTGCGTACCTAACCTTGGATGCTAAAATTAAAGACAAAGAGAATGAATTAAAGCACAAGACATTTCAAATCCAATAGAAGCAGTAATACTCCTGTGATGAATCATAAAACTTTACAGCTTATTGCAATATGTACATTTAGCTTTATAAATCAGTTTCTGGGCACACCATTAGTCACTGTGGAAGTAAGAAATGTAGAAGTGGCCATCTATAGCCCCTTGCTACAATCATTTGTGAATAAGAAATAATGAAGATCACAGCAATGTCTAATACACACACTTTCCAACATTTGATCCACAGATCACTGGACAGCAATGTGAAGCATTAACCCTCACTAATTTTCCCCTGGCTCATTTTCCCATCTCTAGCCCAAATGCAGCATCTCACCATTCTGCTGATCAAGCATTACTAAATTAGCAATAAATTATGATGTTAAAATTCTGGGAAAGATAGCCCAATGACACACTAAAACATAGAAGGAAATTCCAAGAGTTAATTCCTTGCTGCAAAAAAAAATCTCAATAAGCATTGCCACTATTTTAAAAAAATTGTGCTTAATACCGAATCTGTGAGCCCATTAATCCCCAACCTGATTTTCAATGCCAGAGTCAGACATGGGACACTTACCTTTACAATCATAGAACTTTGAAAAAATAAAAAGCAAAGCTCTCTAAATTTTACCTGAGCTTATCTGAAAGCTCACATAAGTTAGAATCAAGAAGACCATAAACTAGACGACCCGAAGCACCTAATTACTTTTTAAAGTTGCTTTTGAAATATGGGATGGAAATTCTATTGATTTCTCTCCTCCTATAAGTCTCAGAGGTTCACCATTTAAAAAATTACTATGCGACATAGATACTGGGTCCCAATCCCTGACTGTCCAGCGCCTTGGGGCATCCTCCCGACATGAAAGGCACTATATAAATGTAATTTTGTAATGTATACACTTTGCACTTACACTGAAGTAACAGATTTAACATTTCACTGAACTTACAGGATCTTGAAGAAACATCAAGACAAAGTTCACTATTTCATTGAGGATTCCTTCCATCTGCTGATGACAACCTTCCCCAATAGCAGATAAGGCCATCAGGCCTGCATGTCTATACTTCCATTCAGCTGAAAGAGATCAGTTGAAAACATTATTAACCTTTAAGCAGTACAGGTGAGCGCCTTTTGTATTGATGCATTTTTACACATCAACTTTCCATTGACTATAAAAAAAAGTTTTAAGGCAATGGAACACTAAACGTCTTAAAAATGTACCTTCGCTCCAAAACAGACAGCATGAATAATAATAACAACTATCCTTGCATTTTACAGCACCTCATCACATTGTCAAGATGTATCAAAAGCACCTCACAGGGTACACTGTAAAATGCTGGAACTGTGCATTTTGTGGGCAAATGAGCAAGATGATTAAAGGATGTTTTAATAAGGTTGCAGAAGAAAATGGAAATGTTAAATGGTAAAGATGAATACAAGAAGAGCAGAATATGGGTGTTCAATTTATGGGTACATTTTTTACTCTAATTTGATTCAGTACATCATCTATAAATTTGAAAACTGGTCAGCCTAAGAAGACTAATCTTCTTGGATGCAATTGTAATCTAAAGGTTAAAAACAAAATGCTACATTCAAGCAAATGTTTTGAGATTTCACAATGCATTTGTCACATAACATTTTACATTACAACTAATTACTTGCAACAAAACATTGACTTGGATGATTTATATGCACGCTCCACACTAACTGTATAGAGTGTATAAGTTTGGGACACAACATGTCAAGTGATTTGCAATGGTGGAAGGCAAACTAAATGGATATTGGTTTTCTTTTGTCTAGCAAATTCTTATGTTATGTATACATTACGGTTAGAAGCTCCAGTAACAGAACTATCCGAGGAGTTAAATTCACTGATCAGAGCATCTCTAATCCAGTAATATTGTGATTTTTTAATATGATAAATCACAATTTTTTGCATTTGATACATTAATCATTGAAACCAACCACTGCTAGACCAACACCCCAGGGATTTTGCACATTAATTCCTTTCCTAACCCTCCACACCCCCAACCAGCTCTTCTTCAAAGCCCTGCCATTAATTTGCTTACACTTTACCACTTTGATGAACATGGTTGCCATTAACCTCAAGAATTATGTGAAACAATTTAAAGTTTAAATCATATTCCTCATACTCACGATTTTGCAACATTTGCATGATATGTTCTTTTATCAGTGGAAGCACTACTTTGCCACCGAGGCCACAGGCTATTCTGTCCAGTGCACTCTCACCAGCAACAGCATTGCTATATTTGAAACAAAATCGGTTAATTGTCAAAAAAATGCAATTATAAAGATTATTTTTAAATGTTTGGGCAGAAAAAGATTTCCAAACAGACAGCAAAAGAAGCGGTTACTTAATTTACCTTACTTTGAAAAAGCACTAAAATCAAATGTGAAATGTCACATTTGATTCAAGAAAAAAAAGTTAAAGAATGTTATAATAATCAATCCCACCCATTAAGTATGTGTTCGTGCGTTCCACCCTGTCTACTGCTCACTCGGTTAATTTTCTTTTAAAGTATATCCCATCTTAAGGATATACTGAATTTAGAGAACATCTAGCAAAAAATTCACCTGGACAATAGCTGGGATAACAGGCCTTACTTAGTTCTGATTTTTGGCTAGATAAATTTTAATTATATTCCCTAGATCTGAGGAGGTTAATGCATGTTTTAGTCAAGTTATTTATAATACTAAAGGAATTTTCAAGTTATTTTGGAAACAACTCTTCCTGTAGGTGAGAAAATGGAGAACAAAGAGCTATAAATCTTAAAACTTAAAGCTAAAATTAGCTTTTTAAGCTCAGTTAAAATTGATCTAGATTTTTTAAAAAAAACACAGGGTCGGGAGAATGTAAAATGAATTTCCACAGAAAGCTATAAATTCAGAATCAATTAAGGTATTAAAGGAAGATAAATGCTTGAAATGAGGGAATTAGGGATTTGGGACTTTAGTCTCTAAAGCTCAATATATTTTCATCTTGTTTATGGATTCTGAAACAAACTGTGTTCTCCTACCCACCAGTGATAAAGCTATTCAACATCACGATAGCTTGATTACCATAGTACTAAATGTATTAGAAATATTAAACTTTCAAATAAAACTTTTGCTTTACTTTCTTAATTTTAATATATATTTGATTAACCCAATTATTTATCATTAGAAGCAGTCTATACTGAATCCTAATTACCTGTCAAAGTCATCATCTTCCAGTTCATCTGAATTTGACCAGTTCTCATCATCCTCTAAATCCACCATCATAGTCAGCATCTGTGGAACTTAACAAATACATTATTAAAGGAATTCCATATTTCTGCTGACATGCAGTTCAATATTTTAAAAAATTGGAAAATTAAAATGAATCAAAAATTCTTTAATCTGTATATCTATTATTATGGAACAAAAACTTTATCTGATATGAAACTTATATTTGTACACAAATATAGTTATATCTGCAATTCAAAAATTGTTCACAAATCAATACTGAAGACAACTTTCAGGCAATTATCATGATGCCGACATCAGAATTGATGCACATTCATTTTATGTGATGCATAATTTAGTGGTCATTCGTACAATAACTAAAAGATTATTCTCGTTCAGATTGCACTATGATTTATACACAATTTCCTGCAAATTACGTAAAAGGACTAAAATTAAGCCACTGGCTTAAACACACAACTAGACTGCTTCTAAGACAGCTTAAATAATCAATTTTAATTAGTACATTGAAATCCACTGACCCAACAGCGTACTATATTCATAAGCACAAGTAGTATTTTATAGCAAGAATTCCATTATAAATTCAATTTTAGCAAGCTTATCGGAATTCAGTATTGGGGAATTGACTTCACTAGACACAGCTTAAGTGTTTTTTCAAAATCTTGGATAAAAATTTAAAGGATAGAATTTTTTAAAATAAAGAAAAATAAGTTCATAGTATCTGGACAACTGCAGCTACATTAAAAAAATTTGAAGTGAAAAATATTCAAATACTCCATTCCTTCACCAAGTACTCTACTGTGCTACAAGATTGCAACTTTTAAAACCCCCTCTACAGCGTCTGTGTAATTCTGCCAACTTCAGGTCACACTGTAACAAATAGGAGCTATAGAAAATCAGCTCCCATTGCACTGGTCATTGTTTAATTACAGAGCTACCAGAGAAAGAGTAAAACAACAATGCCAGAGAAAACAAGCTCGGGTGCGGATCCAGCGCTTCAGAACATCCTCTTGACTTGAAAGGCACTATACAAATACAAATCCTTCCCTCCCCTCACCCTGACCATTTCCCCCCTGCTCGGGTCCTGACCCAACTGTACAGGGCCCTGGGGAGTCCTCCCGACGTGAAAGGCGCTCAATAAATGGAATCTTGTTGTTGTTGTTGAATGCTTTTTCCAAATTAACTGTCATCAAGAAAGAAAATCTAAAGTTGAAGCAAATGTAATTGTTATGGTTACTTACTAGCCTGTGATACAATGTTGCTGTGCTTTCTCAGCATTGCAGAGGCAGTCTCTGACAAAGTTACTATGACTTCAAGTGCCAGCTGACGTTGCATGTTCTGCAGGTTAACGTCTGCACAGATCTGAGGATCAAACAACAATCATATCAATTGCACATATCCAAACACATTAAGAAATCAAAAAGAAATACAGTGATGAACTGTCTTGTATGACAGTGAACTGTACTGTCATTATCCAGTCGATTGAGTTCAATGTCTTGGCTGCCGTTAGTTAGGAACAAAAACACATCCGCCTTCTGGATCCTCAGGTTTCCGTTGATGTTGCTTCCTGCGTGCTAGGCATGCGAGGTGCAGGAAGTGACATCAGATGCAACCTCGTGACTGAGTGACCGAAGACACGGTCGAAGAAGAAGGTCTTGAGACAGGTCTTGAAGGAGGCAAGGGAGGGGGCAAGGCGGAGGGACTGCGGGATGGAGTTCCAGAGGGTGGGGGCAGAGTGGCTGAAGGCCCGACCACCAATGATGGGGCGGATGAGGCAGGGGAAGTGAAGCAGGCCGGAGTCCGCTGAGCAGAAGGGGCAGGCAGGTTGGCAGGAGGTCGCAGAGGTAGGAGGGTGCAAGACTATGGAGGGCTTTGAAAGTGAGGACCAGGGTCCTGAACTGTATCCCGTGCGTGATGGGAAGCCAGTGGAGTCGGGTGAGAATGGGGGTGATAGGGTTGCGGAGCCTGGTGCAGGACAGGGCGTAGGCTGCAGAGTTCTAGATAATCTGCAGCCTATGGAGGGAGGAGTTGGGGAGGTCGACAAGCAGGGAGTTTGCATAGTTGAGTCTGGATGCTATGAATGTATGTATGAGAGTTTCGGTGTGACAGCGGTGGAGCCAGGCGAGGTTGAGGAAGTGGGGAAAGGCAGAGTGGGTCCTGGCATGGATGTGGTGTATGAAGGACAGTTGAGGGTCGAAAATAACGCCGATGTTCCGTATTGGCTCTATGAGATGTAGAGTGCATCTGTGGAGGGAGATGCTGTCAGCGCCAGAGGTATGGATGCGCTAACGGGAGCCAAGCAGGAGGGCCTTAGACTTGTTGACATTCATCTGCAAGAAGTTAGCTCTCATTCCTGGACTTGGATGTCCGACAGGTAGTCTGTGAGGGCAGCAGTGGTCCTGGAATCGAGGGTGGAGGCAGAGAGGTAGAGTTGGGTCTCATCCGCATACATGTGGAAGTTGACCCCATGTCTGCGAATGATGTCACCAAGAGGAAGATCTACTTCTGACATCTGGCATTGACGAGCTAGTGGCAGAAGGCCCCCAGTACGCTTACCTTGAGACTCAATGTTAAAGTTGCCTCCAGATGAGGACGTAAATATTTAGGTGCTGTGTCTGCAAGCTCCACCAAAGATTTCAACACAGAGTCATCATTTTGATAACAAGAGTCATTCGCAGCCTGGATCAGAAAAGGATGAAGAACGTTTTAACCAATGATATGTACTCATGAAGTTAGTTAAGTCATATACAGAGACACTTCTGATCCTCAGACATCTTGTTTCATCAACTTAGCAGTACCTTGGGATTGGCTCATTATAAAAGGAAATATATTTTCATTACACTTTTCATTTGCAAGGACTCTTCTCAAAGACATAGAATCCTCAAGAGTCGATTTATAATGGATGTTTGACAAAAACTGCTTCTAGCATTAATTTAGCCTATAACAGAGCCAGTCTGGCACTGAACAGGGCCTTTAGACGAACACATATAAAAATAGAACTATTGTTCAGTGCCAAATAACTGCTATCCTCCGACAATAAAGGAATCAATAAATCACATGCAGCAATTTTTGAATAATGAATATTTCTTCCTATGCTGATAATCAGATTCTGTAATCTAATTTGTGGGAAGTAGTTCAAACAGGATTCCACTCTCAATCAGACCAGTATACAACCTGGTTCATAAATGCAAAGAATTTAAATAAAACTATTTGCAAATATACCATTCAAATATTGCTAGAAGTGATTCGGGACGCTGATGTTGTAAGTTGTAATTGCTTTGAGATATTAATGAAATTAGCACAGTTTTACAGTTATCTTCAAAAATGTAGGCTGAACATTATGTTACATATTTATATGTAAAAAAAAACTAGGCTCAATCTATTGTAAATCTTTCCTGATTGCATTTTCACTGAACAAGTCATGCACTTTAAAGTTACAGCTATTTCAAAGTTAGACCATAGTCTCAAGCTGTTCAGATAGCAAAGGTTCCACCAAAAGTAGAAAGAGTCAATGTCTCAGTTAGCCTTTCAACAGGTGAGGTTTGAGGATAGCCTGAAACACTATCTTTCCCCTTTAGATACTGATTGTTCAGCTATCAATTTTTGCTTTCCTTTGTTTTGTTGAGCAGAATGTATGTAAAAATACTGTTCACATTGGCAAAGGTCTTTCGCAGCAATGTCTACTTCAAAAACAAAATGAACAATAAAACTCCACTCCTAGTAAAAATGTCGAAATCAAAAGAATTCTAGGGGTTGTACACAAATGATGCTAAGCCTACACATCAAATATACTTCCAATTCAGTCAGTCAAACAGCCTTCTATTCAGCTTCATAAAATCAAGAACCAATTGCTTAATTTGAGGACTATCAATAAAATACAAATACATGTCTGGAACAGTATAAGCCTGGTTACAGTCATTTAAATGAAAAGTACCTTACCTGCAATATTCCAGGCAGCATATCAGAAAAATGCTTTTGGAGGGGAAGATTATTTTCATTTGCCAACACAAATGCTGCTGCAGCCCTCGCAGCCAGAGTACGAATCTAGCAAAATTATAATTGACAGAATGAAGAGCAAAAATATAGGAATGTTTGAAGCATCATGAAAGCATTTGAATGATAACAGCAGTAATCCTTACTGTTGGGTTCTCAGTGTCCTGCATGCATTGAAGCAGCATTCGTTTGATAACTTCAAGATAATGTTGCTGCTGATTTCCAAAAATTCCTGGAAAATTCCTATTCGAGAAAGGTAACAAGCCCTGGATTAGTAAATGTCACATCAACTGCCCCAACATGACGTTCCCCCTTATCCTCTGCCGATTGTTCTCCTCCAGTTTCCTGACCTCCAAGTTCTCCCCTTAAGGCATATAGCTCAGTACGCCATCTCCACAGTCTATCAGAGGTGCCGCTCTTCGGATGTAATGCTAAATCGAGCGGATTGTCGACCACGACACTGTAAGAAACTGCCTTTTCTTTCCAAACACCACCACAAGATCTTTAACGACCATTTGCACATGGACGCGAGTGTGTTTTGGTGGCTTATCTGAGGGACAATGCAGCGCTGACAATGCAATACTCTGCGTTGGGAGTAGCTTAGACTTTGTCTAGAAATGCTGTGTTTTGCCCACAAAATACAGTCAATCCACTTTACAGTATATTCTGTGAAGCACTTTGAGACATCAATTACGTGATAAGATACTATATCAAATGCAAGGATTATTATCCGAATCAAGTAGGATACAGTTCCATGGATAACAACCATCCTCTATTACCTCATCCAGATGTTAATTATATAGGTTTGTGCCTGTTCGCTCTCAAAGGGCAGCCACATGCAGTGTTTAGCCATCAAAGCTTAAAAGTGCTCAGTTGATTTACCATTCATCAACCCCAAGGATGCTAGGTGCAATTACAGTCATCCTCACAGCACTGGCCAAGATCAGTTACTCAGCACAGAATAGATTTCTTCCTGGCATGATACTGAGATATAAATTGTCTCGACACAATAATGGAGTACTATCGATAATTTGTATCATACATAATTCCAGTTCACAATTTCAAAAATTGCTCACAAGTTCTAATTTGTTAAGTGAAAAGTTTAACCAATAATTGTAGCTTTGGACAAGCTGGAAATTGTGGATGGTGGAACTGAGGAGACCAGTGAGGAGTGCATCTGTGAAGTCGAGGCTGGAAGGTGTGAGTGAGAGTTTCGGCAGCATTTGGGGTGATGTTAGTTGGAATCAGACAATGTGGTTGAGGAAGCAGTCCAGGCAATGGAACTAAATGTGGGGTAGTAAGGATACGAAGAACGATACTCTCAGTGGCTAGAGCACTCGCCTTGCAAGCGAGAGACCTGGGTTTGATTCTTGCAGGGCGAAACCTTGGGCAAGTTTCCTTACTCCACACGCCTGATAATTATCCCTCAAGAAAAAAAACAATAATAAAATTGGTCACTTCAATCCACGATTGTTTGTGGGACACTACTGTGCACAATTGGCTGCTGAGTTTTGCCCACAAATATACAGTCAATTCGCTTTACAGATATTCTGTGAAGCGCTTTGAGACATCTAGAAGATGTGAAAAGCGCTATATCAAATGCAAGGATTATTATTATTTATTATAAGAAACTTTTAGCAGTGAAGAGTGATAGTTTCCTTTCATCATTACAAAAAAAACACTGTTAAACTACAAGTGTAATGAAAATTATCTGTACAGAAATTACTATAGTACAATGTTTTGCAGTATCCACATGCATGGTACACGATTGATAAACAGGAATCCATACCATGTCAATGTTGATAAAGAATTGGAACATTTCTCAAATCAAGATAAACTGGAAACTGCACTTTGGGACACTTTTGTGAAAGGCACTACAAAAATGTAAATTCTATTGTAACTGTTTGTTCAAATTGAGAATGCATCTTCAAAGTCAAATTGTTGACAGAATATTAATTAATTTAACCAAGATGCAGAAAAGGATGCCTCTGAATTCACTACAGACCCAAACTATTAGAAGCATTTTTTTTGATGAGAAATGGCATGCAATATGCTCAAGATCCACAATGTATTGTCTCCTGAGCCAATGCTCCTATCCTGAGCTTGCCCTTGGTTCCTACCATAAATTCTCCATATTTTTATGTTCCCTCATCAATTACTAAATTACTTATCTTTTGAGTCAAGCTGCTCCTGGCATTTAATTGTTTGTACACTGCATGCCAAAAAGCTAAAGACTTACCAGAAAATATGCAACGCAGCCTCACGTAACCCCACATTCTGGGAGCTGACCGATTCAAAGAGAAATTTCAGGAGTTCTGGCCACTGGTTGTTGCCATCGTCATCTAAACATAAGCAAGTCACATTTTTACCAAAAGATTTATTATCACAATGTAATCTTAATTGAGTATTCTCAGCAAACCACTCCCCCACTCTGTTTAAATACTACAGACTAGCCTGAAATCTTGAGCGCTACTACGAACCAATGTTATAAATTTCAACTGCAGGTTCTGGTGATATTAACCAAGGCAACAAAACTGACAGAATGAATACTGTTAGGATCATTCGGACAAAAAGGAAGAGTGGTATCTTGAAATTTCTATAATGAAATATGTAGAATCAGTTCCATGGGACTTTGAGAATAAGCTTCGTCAAATACACCTACAAATTGAATCAAAATCTCTCCCCTTGCCCTTCCCTAAATCAAATACAACATCCTTTTCAAGATGATTTGAGTTAAAACTCCTGTAGAGAAGCTTTTTTTAAAAAAAAGACTGATTTGCTGAGTTGCTCTTGCAGTGAATGACTTAACAAATATATATGGGCAGACAGGGAAATTCAAGTAATACATTGCATTGTTAATGATTTTACAGCTCGTATTTTTGTTTTTGATAAAATACACAATAAAATTGTCAATCAAACCTAGGGAAAGGAATAATCTCATTAGGCAGCATCCTGAATATACTCTGGTTACTCAATATAGAAACGAAGCTCCTCAACAGCTGGTAAATGTATTGCCAAGTATAAAACTGAACCAAATACAACAAAGTCTCAGATTCAAACCATGGTTTGTTTATCTGAGCAGATTAGCAGTGAGACACAAAATATATCACCATGTTCGCAAAGTAGCAGCTCTGCTGGAAACTTCCTGTGGACATAAGGTGAAGACAGGATTGAGTTTGGGTGTGATGTTCTCACAATCACATAAGCTGCCAATGCTTGCCATCTACAAGAGTGATTATTTGGGCAAGGTACCCAGAAATCCTAAGAACATATCCAAACAGGCCAGTAGCTTCAGGAGACGGAGAAAGAGTTAAAATGTTGAACAGAACTAGTTGATCATTCATCAAATCTTTCAAACAAACACAGAGCTGTGAAAATCGTCTTTGAGAAACCTGCAATTTGTAATTGATGACATCAAGCGTCTTACCAATTAGATTCCTAGAAAGCTCTGCTGCAATGTCACAGGTCTTCCTCCTGATGTTTGGTGACCCCTCTGTTTGGATTCCCAGAAGTAATTCTGTCTTGATAGCATTCTGTGCATCAGTTGGCAGGTTTGGATACACCTCTTCAAACGAAGCAGATAGCATTCGGCGCATTAAAACTGCGGCCATCTGTCTTACCTGCAAATGGGAACAAATATGAGCAATACGCACAGCTGCCACCTTTGAACTGGTTGTAAAAAAAATTACCCGATGTGCATGCATCAGAGTTTGCAAAGGGAATCTACTACATTTCAATCATAGTTTCACAGCCACCTCAGAAATACAACTTCGATAAATGGTATAAAGCCATTAAAGCAAAATATCAAGAGTATGTGAACAACTGAACAGAACATGCTATTTTCAAGTCCCATTTTAAGATTTAATTGTATGCATTAGTCACAAGAGAGATGCTGCAGGTTTACGAAAGTAAACAAATTGAAAGTTGAACATACTATGAAAAGTAAAATTAATCAGTAGATTATTTTTTAAAAATTAAAACTATTCCATACGTCTCTTCTGTACTTGAAAGAGATGAAACAACCTCACTACAAATTACCATGAGCATTAAAAGCTCCAAGATGCACGTTTCACTGACAAATAGGTGTTGATTCTAGGTCAATACTGAAGAAACACATGAACAGTTTAATATGTGGTTAAAAGTTCTTATATCATAAATAAGTCAATCATGCAAACCTTTGGCTTTCTTAATGATGTTGAAAGATTAAACTCAAATTTCTGGAAAATTATAATGCGGGTAATCAGGCCAAAAATAAAGACCAACTATTTCCATTTTAATCGGGAACCTCATTGGATACAGTTCATGATTTCCATACTTGGGAAGGAAATTCGATACACACATCAACAGATTAGTCACAAAGAAAACTACTGTCGCCGAGTGTGTCAGCTGAATTCTGCCTCTAACATTTTTATACATTGAATCATCATGGTCTCCCTAAGTCTCTTATGACAATGGAATACAACCACCCGTGTTAATTCATGAAAGTAGAATTCTCAACTGGTATTGCTAAGAGAAAGGCCAATACATATTCTCCCAGTTAAAGTTTTAATTATGCCAAGCTGTGTTCCAGTATTATGTCCCCAATATAGTGAGAACACTGGCAAGTTGAGACTCATTTGCATTATAAGCAAGCTACAACACAGATTTATTTTTAAAGCAAGTTGTGTGTAACTGAATAATAAAATAATTCTTGAATTTGATATAGCACCTGCAATGTCAAGAACATCACTTTGACGTTTTTGTGAAGTATAGTAACTGTATTTTGCACATGTCCTAATTTTAAAATATATGGAACAATATGATCTCCCTAGGGAGATGGTGGAAGCAAATAGTGTCAACTCATCCAAATGCAAATTAGATACATTTATTTTAGAAAATAATATTTTGGGATACAGTATATGAGTAATTTGAGACATGAGAAATGTTGTAGTGCTTGGAATAACTAGGCAACTTTAGATCTAAGGATCCCAAAGCTTTCCAATGTGATGGAAGTCGAATCCATACAGAATTAATTGCTATCGACATCTCCATTATTGAAGCATGCGACTACCAGGATGGTAGAAGGCTGACTAGATAGACCTTGCACTTTCTTCAGTTAGCAATTTCTATATCCCTATGTTAAAATTATGTACACTGTTCTCTAAATTTGCTATTTCAATCACAACATTGGAATACAGTTATGCAAATTAGACACAAGTGGGTAAGAGATGGAACTTTTTAAGTTAGTGTGAATGGGGAGGAAACCCCAACGTTTACTTATCCCCCCCAAAATCTAAAATACCTGTGCCAGCTAGATAGGCGCTTCAAAAAGCCAGGGGCAAATGTGGTAGCTACTTGAAGACCCTGAAATCACTTCCCACACACTGGCTAGCATTTTAAAGTGCTGATGGAGCTGCCCATCCCTTCTGCACATTTGCACAATGAATGTGGTAGTGCTGACCACTTAACATACCCCATTGTAGCAATTAGCATTTTATGGACTCATAAATACTGTATAACTGTATCGAAATATACAGACAGATGCAAGTCATGACTCATGACTAAGCACATACTATTGAGTATCAATTCATTTTGTAAACCTTTTGCCACTCCAAAAGTGATTCAATTGATAATGCAGTTATATGGAGTCCTGTAACTCAGTGGTGAGAGACTTGCAAGCGAGAGACCTGGGTTCAATTCCCGGCAGGGTGAAACCTCGGGCAAATTTCCCTACTCCACATACTCGATAATAATCCCTCAAAAAAAAATTGGTCATTTCAATCCACGACTGTTTGTGGGACACTGTTGTGCGCAATTGGCTGCCACATTTCGCCGACAAATATACAGTCAATTCACTTTACAGTGTATTCTGCGAAGCGCTTTGAGACATCTAGAAGACATGAAAAGCGCTATATCAAATGCAAGGATTATTATTATTATTGTGCAAGTCAGTAAGCCATTCAGCATGATGACATCATGCAAGCTTTTATTTCGCAACACTAACATATTCAAACTGGTTATGAGCCGTCTTCCAAAATCCGTTTGAAGTGTCACAGTAATAGCTATGATATATACTGTGTATCCAAAGCATAATGTTATTTTAAGGTACATTTGTAAAGATTACAATTTAATTGACAACATTCCTCAATTGTCCATATTATGATGAAAATAAGATTATCAATTAATGAGTATACACATCAAAATTTTAAAGCAAATACTGGATTATCAAACATTAGTCCTTAATTGCAACAGCAGTGGATAATATAGCATCACTGTACATGTGTGTGGAAACGGAGGGGGGGTGTGGAGAGAAAGAGAAGCAATCGTTGTGTGGGCACTGAACCAGACCAATGAGATGCAAATAGTTTCCCAACTACCTTTCATTACTTGAAAACAAAGAACTGAAACTAGTTTTGCCCAGTCAGTCAGTAACTTAGAAATAGATCTCAGCCTTTTGCTTCTCCACAGCCATGGAGAACTTTTCACTGCTAAATTTAAGGGAAAGAAGCAATTTTCAAAAAAAAACAATTACCCACCTCTTCTCCAGCTGCTGTATTCCTAAGTGCTTGCAGAAGAAACGTGACCTTTGCCTGGCCTGTGATATTCTCATAAGCTTCCTGAATAACAGAAGGAATATTTTTAAATTAAGATTGTGTCGCATTATCTCCAAGTCTCAAAAGTCTCAATAAACCAATGCAGATTCACAATTCAAGCTGTAATTTTGTAAAGGAATGTTATCAATAACCACTTCAGCATAAACTATTAGCCTTGATCAAGATGTTACTCTCTACACCTAAATTACACACACATACAAGTTTGATCTCAATCTTCTAGAATACCAATCCTACCATCATCCCAATATAGCTCAAGCAATTTCTTAAATGGGTCTGAAAAGATCACATCTAAGTGAATCGATTCCTTAAGGTCAGCTTTGTTGTATTACGTTTTAAACAGGTAGCCTCAGGTCCATTCTATACAATACAAAATTCTATTTGTAAAAATTCTTTCACATCGGGAAGACGTCCCAAGGCGCTGAAGATATACTAATACTATATACTAAATATATGATATACTGAAAAATCTAAATTATTTTGTCCACAATTATCTTAAAATTAGAACTACAAGTTAAACCTGAACTCACAAAATATTTTTAAAAACATGGTAGACAATAATGAATGCATTACCCCCAAAAAATGAATTATAATATAATGTATATAATTCTTGCATTTGATAGTGCTTTTCATGTCTTCCAGACGTCTCAAAACACTTCACAGAATGTACTGTAAAGTGAATTGATTGTATATTTGTGAGTAAAACGTGGCAGTCAATCGCGCATAGCAGCGTCCCACAAACAGTTGTGGATTAAGTGACCAGATTATTATTGTGTTTTTTTTAAGTATTTTCATCTAATGAGGTTTATAATCAGATTTAGCAATGAAGAATTTAGTTCTCATCCTGAATGTGGAGTCCTGTAGCTCAGTGGTTAGAGTATTCGCCTCGCAAGCAAGAGGCCTGAGATCTATTCCCAGTAGGGCGAAATGTTGGGCAACTTCCCTTACTCCACACACCTCTGCTTACCTAGCAGTCAGTAGGAACCTGGTTGTTAGTCGATTGGCGGATCACTTTTCCGGGGATAATAATTTGGTCACTCAATCCATGACGGAGACGGCTGTGTGCAATTTGGCTGCTGCGTTTCGCCCACAAATATACAGTCAATTCACTTTACAGTATATTCTGTGAAGCTCTTTAAAACATCTAGAAGATGTGAAAAGCTCTATACCAAATGCAAGGATTATTATTATCCCGGAAAAGCAATCTACCAACCAACAACCAAGTTCCTACTTACTGTTAGGTAAATAGAGGCGTGTGGAGTAAGGAAATTTGCTCAACGTTTTGCCCTGCCAGGAATCAAACCCAGGTCTCTTGCTTGCGAGTCGAGCGCTCTAACTACTGTGCTACCGGATTCCATTATCGATTCAATTGATGCATTTAAACAGATACTGCCACAAACTAATGCAATGTTAGACCGGGCTCCATAGCTGAATATGTTACATAAAATATATAAAAATAACTGCTTGTCGAAATTATCAAGACTAACCATGCATTACAAGCACAAATATACAGTCAATTCACTTTACAGCATATTCTGTGAAACTCTTTACATCTAGAAGATGTGAAAAGCGCTATATCAAATGCAAGGATTATTATTATTATTAATTCATTTCTAACAGTGCCATGGGAACTTTAACATCCACCAGGGACCTAGATTTAATATCTCATCCAAAAGAACAGCATCTCCAACATTGCAGTTCTGCAATACAAATGTCAGCCTAAATGTTGAACTCAAAGTCCTGACTTTGAAGGTTAGGGGTTGAACCTTCTGACTCGGAGGTAAGAATGCTAGCAATCAGACAGCCGTTACCGTAAAGCGCTCTGAAACCCCATCCGGCGTGGAGGGCGCTATATAAATCCAAGTTGTTGTTGTTGAGAAATTGTGGTGAGACAGTGAGACACAGATGCAGACTGATTGTGATTTTAACCACAATAGTCTCAGTGCTGTGGGTATGCTGGCAGTTGTATTGGAGGGACTCAATCAGAGAATACATGCACAATGATATTAAAACTTTAAGCTGAAAATGACAAATTATAAACTTTCTGAATTAAAAGAAAACTCAATTTTTCATCATAGAGAAACTTAAATTTTCCAGCAGTGAATCAATTTGCAAAATGTATTAGTTTTCTCAGATTTTCCATCTAGTGAGGTTTATAATCAGATTTAGCAGTCAAGAATTTAGTTCTCATCCTGACCTTCTCAAGCACACACAAATACACACACACAGGCATTATCACAACATGACAAGTTCAAAGATCCTCCTTGCAAAGTCATTGGATTGCCTGTTCCTAACTATGCAACTGTTTGACATAGCTGCTTTGACACTGAAGTTGCACCTTTAAAGTATTACGTCAAGTCTTACAAACAGCCGATGCATAAACCCATTAGCTAAACCTCAGCTACAACAGGCAAGGATGACCCGAATCACTTTGTCAGTAAAACATCCAATTAATTCAGAGGCTCAAAGAATCATAGAAACCTTTTGAGTCATCTTTTGGTGTCAGCCTCACGTCAGACTCTGAATCTCTCTGGACTGATACTCCAGTGCAATACTGGTATGTGTTGCATGTTGGAGGTGCCCTTCTTCAGATGCGATGTTAGACTGAAGCCCCTTCTGTCTGTTCAGGTAGACATTAAAGATCCCAGGGACTATTTGGACAGGGAAACAAGTTTCTCCTGGCGATCAATTCCCCAGATAAAATTGATCAATCATTCCATAACTGTAAATATTTTGGTACACTTTAGCCGTGAATAGAAACAAAGAAGCACTTTTATAGCACCTTATTTTGAAATGTCATAGAAAATCACAAGTGTACTTTTGAGCACAGCCACTGCATTTGTTGCAAACAAGTCCATCATTTATACCAGTAAGCTGAAACGTAACAGACATGGTGCAAGTAGAAATGCAATGGATGTGATAATGAGCTGAAACATAATGGGCGCGATGCAACGTGAAACGTAATGGACGTGGTATGGTGCAAACTGAAAACATATCTTGGGTCTGACATATCTTGACAGCTGTTTCTCTCAAATGGATTTAATGCCTTCACATTATAAAATACCTTCATCGATTATCAAGTTCAATCTGCACATATGTGGACCCAGTGACCTCATCATTTAATATACACAGTATCTTACTATACAGACATTTCAAAAGTTATAAGAGACTTCAACATATCTAACTAATGACAACAAGTAGGGAAGCACAGCATTATTTAGATGGAACGACTTTGGATGAAGGTAGAAATGAATACAAGATATTCAAAAATAAAAGTGGCTACACAAATTTGATGTAAGGGTCCACTTGAACAAATCTCTTTCTGAAGCAGAAAGAACAGCATTACACTATACATCAAACTGTATTGTGTCATCTATTCAGAGATTTTGGACATCCCAATGATGACTGATAAACCTGATGTTAACCCACTCTATAATCCTGAATGAAAGATTTCTGAACAGAGGTACAAAAAAAGCATCTCCTGCCAGGATTACACATTTCAATCGGCATTAGCACATCTATTTTCAGATCTGAAGCCAATTGTCTTTTAAGAATGAATGTGCTGATTATTACAAGTGATGTAACTGAAAAAACGAGAGTGGCTTTGATGACAATTCAGTAGCAAATAGCAGCTCAGTCTGACTAGACATATGAAGCTAGTTAAATCCGCATAGGATTCCCTACCAGGCTTAAGAATAGAAACCCAAGCACTTTTAAGAATGAATGAACAAACTGACATTAACTATTCACAAAGAAATCTCATAATAGTACAAAAGCTGTGTGAATCAAGCCTATACAGCAGACTTGCTTTCACACTTTTTTGTACGATGTTTAGTTATCAATCATCACTTTATTAAGAGCCTGGGAGTCATTTAAAATGAAGATAATTATAGCGGGCTAAATAAATTTGGGTCAAATTTGCTTTTAAACATCTCCATTATTAAGTGGTGATTAATGCAAATATAATCAGACACCTTTTTCAAATGGCTAATCTTCATTTGTAGGCTGATATTTGTGGGGAGGGAGGAAAAGATGGGATCAAAGCTCAGTCTTTCCCAATGCTCACATATACAGGGTGACCATAAAGTCGTGATACCCTATTATCTTTAAAAAAAATTAATCTCTTTTAAGACTTATCAGACATGTAATGGTATCATGACTGCAGTTACACTTTCCAGCGATAAATCGCACATAGTTAGGAGCAGGATTCCTGGATGATTTCCCCCTTCCCAGTCTGAAAGTACTGAGACCAACTGGAATTGCTGATACAATATTAAGTCAACCATTCAAAAAAAAAGGAAATATCTCCCTGTGCCATGACCATCAATCCTCCAAATGAATTAGACTTGGCAGCTTGTGGGACATTACAGTTGCATTCCCTATAAAGACAGTCACTACACTTCAGATCAAATACTTACACAATGCTTTGAGACATTAATACAAGATAAAAACAAAAAACATTTTTGGGAGGAGGGAAGGGGGCTGACAACCTTGTTGTAACAAAAATGGGAAAACTTTATATTAAAATTGTGGTAAAATATAACTAATCTTTGGTTTGATGCTGACCCTAGGTGTTTGAAATGATAAAGTGTTCTATTCACAACACATAAATCTCACACCGAGTACTAAATTCACTAAATAGTGTAACTCCAATATAATGTGCACAACATCTCTCTGGAGGGCTTTGAAGTCACAATTATATACAATAAGTAGTTTGCCATCATTTAAAACAAAGCATTACTATCACATTATAATGCTATTATTATTATTATTATAATGCTAGTAACTCAGGATAGCCAACATAAAAAAATACAACTACCCATCATAAAATAGAATGGTCCTACACCAGTGAGATTCCAGGTTTCTGAGGAAATCAAAAATGACCCTAGTATACACTCAAGCACTTGTTCCTTCACGATCCACAAGTTTAAAAATAGACAGAGGGCTGATATTTCATAGCCCATTTCCACTGGATAACATACTAGAAAATGTAAATAACCCCCTGATTGAAACTAATACTACAGTCAACTTTTTCTAAATGCAATGTACTTTGTTATATATTAAACATCTTTCTAACTTATTCCAGTTAGTTCACCTCAAATGACTCATACAGAATTAGCAAACCACATCCAATGCAGTTCACAGGCACACTCCATGCAAGCACCAGCTAAATGAAATGACTAATGAACATCATTGGTGTTAGGGAACAAATGTCACAAGTTCCACTAAGCAATAATAAGCATATCCATATTTCTGATGGGGAAACTAAACAAGGCCCAATCTGCATAAAGATGAAAGAAAAAAAGGATTAGAAAAATGCAGTTTATAAATGTTAACTGAAAATAATCACCCACTTTTGTGCAAAAGTCAGAGATAAAGAACTGTAGTTGGCATATTGAATCAAGCTTGTTGACAAAACCCATGTAAGAGTAGAGGCATTGTCCCTGATTTTAAAAGGTCATTATAAAATGGTTTGGCTCTGCTTTGCAACCAAAGTACTTGATTTTTGTTTCTAACTTCTACATCATTGCTCTATAGATATGATTACTTAATGATACATTATATAAACAGTACATCAAGTTCAGTACTGTAAGCAATTCCTTTCAACCAGGTGTGAAAAATGATTTACATAACAGGCCCATTTAAAAACATTTCCAATTTTCTTTTAGTTCATACAAAGACAACAACTCAAAATAACAGATTATCAATTGCACTCAATTCTTCCAGAGACAATTGAGTGCAATTGATAATCCATTCACTTCACAACTTCTGCACTGCATTGTACTGTGTGATGGGAAGCCAACTCCACTGGCTTCCCATCACACAGAGGGTACAGTTCCTGGTCCTGACCTTCAAAGCCCTCCATGGTCTTGCTCCCCCCTACCTCTGCGACCTCCTAACACCCTACAATCCTACTCTACTCACTCAGCGGGCTCCGGCCTGGCCCATGTTCCCACCTCGCTCGCCCCACTATTGGCAGGCGGGCCTTCTGTCACTCTGCCCCACCATCTGGAACTCCATCATGCAGTCCCTCCACTTCGCCCCCTCCCTTGCCACCTTCAAGACTCATCTCAAGACCCTCCTCTTCGACCTTACTTTTGATCTCCCTGCTTCCCCCACCTGCCCTCCACCCTCCCAGGCCCTGACCCCCAGCTCGGGTCTGTGACTCTTTCTATCTGGCGCCTTGGGAAGTCCTCCCGACGTGAAAGGCACTTTACAAATATAATTTTGGTGTTGTTGCATTGCTCTTTGAATGCATACTGCAATTTAAGAGGAAATAAACATTAAATTTGCGATTAGATGAACCCTTTTGCTATACAGACAATATGGATTTTACATGGGTATAAACATCAGTAATTTCTACCAATGTACTACACACACACACACTCTATCGAGTCTTATCTCAATATTTTCAGAGATCTACACATTATGAGCGTTTATACTTTTCACAATACATTCGCTTCCAATGATTCAACGTCTGGATGTAGAAACGAGACTACCGTTATTGCCCAATTATGGGGGTATCTGTTAAAGCGAGAATCCTGATCACGGTGTATGCATTCCGGCATATGAAGTAAAAACCCAAACACTTCACACATGAGCAGCTCTGCCCATCCCACAAAACTGGACCGGAGCAGATTCTAAAACACTTGCATTCTGGAAACTATAAATCAAAGGAGGAAATCTAACACAGACACACACACACACACACACCTCGGGGGCCTTGAGCTAATCTTCCAAGGAGTTCCTGCTGGAATCTCCCGTCTATTCAACACGTTATGGATCCATTAAAATGACGGATCCATTAAAATGACGGCGATCGATGCGCGACTAAACTTCATCTTCTCCATTTATTTACAACTGAAATCAAAAGGAATTCAACATGGGATCCTCTTCCCTCCCGCCCCGAGCAGAGCCGCTGCCCTGACCGCAGCAGCACATGGAAGGAGGGAGGCGCTGGCCTCAGATACAATGTAATGCAACGTGCCCGGCCTCACTGCCTGTCACACGTGGGCCCGGCCACTGCCTCCCCCTTGCCATCCCTGCCACTGCCACCGCCACAGAGGGAGAAGCCGGCCGGCGGCCCACCGGCCTCCCTCGTCCACCACCAGCCCCCGGGGGCCCAGCGCACTCACCTCGGCCTGTTTCCTGATCGCGTTATCAGGGTTCAGCAGGTTGCTGAGTAAGAGGTAGAACTGCTGCTGCTCCGCCATGGCGCCGTGTGCGTGTGTGAGAGGGTGGGAAGGAGGGAGGGAGGGGGAGAGAGAGAGAGAGAGGGGGGGGAGGGAGAGGCTGGGGAAGCGCCGGCTCAGGCGACCTCTGACAACACGCGGAGGCGGGGCTGTGCACCGGCCGCTTATCAGCTGCGGGCGGGCGGGTAGTGGGAGGAGCAGCCGCGCTGCGCTGCGCAGGGGAGAGAGACGGGAGGAGGAGGCGGGTGAGTCCGCGAGGCGGATGGTTTGACCCCCCGGGAGCGGGCGGGGCAGACAGGACGGCTCCGGGGCCTGTGTCTGAGCGGCGGGGAGGCCCGTAACCATAGAGACCGATTGTGTCACGTCTCTGGTCAACGCGATGACGCAGTGCCGCACACGCCCACGCATGTCATTGGTGGCGATTCATTAGCGACCATGCGCACACCGCAGAGAGAGAGAGAGAGAGTGTGTCTGTCTGTGGGGGGGAGTGGAGGGGTGAAGGTCAGGGAAGGGAAGGCCTGGCTGGTGAGCGTTGAGGAGTGGCCACTCTGCGGTGCCAAGCGTCAGAGACAGACAGACAGAGAGACAGAGAGAGAGGGGGGGACTCTCTGTGTCATTGCCCCTGGATCTCAGCCCTCTCCACCCAGCAACACCCACTCACCCCCACACCTGCACAGTGGCAGCTGTCTTCATTAATAATGTAGTGTGTTTTTTTTATTATTATCCAGCAGTCTGCACACAGCATCGCCCCAAAACGGTCATTCACCTGACCGCTGTTTGCAGGACGTTGTGGTGCATACGTTGGCAGCCACGTCCGCCCACAAATGCAGCATCACTAAACTTTCCAGTGAAATCCTGTGAAGCGCTCCGAGACACTATCCTGCATGAAGGGTGCTGTATAAATGCAAGTTGTTGTCTTAATGAAATGCTGAGAAATGCTGTGTTAAAATACATGAATTATTATTACAGTGCAAAGAGGCATTCATTTGATTTCCTGGTCCATTAATTACCTGTTACAGTAGTTCCTCTGGGAATTACTATTTATTATTAAAATCCATCTAAATACATGGAGTTTTTTTTTAAGTGGGCTGCATGGAAAATTTATATTTTTCAATCAAAATAATTGTTACTTTTAATGATTGAGACTTGACAGATCTGAATTTCACTTTTGTGCTGTTGTTGCCCCATGCAGTTTTGTTAAATAATTTATTTTAAAAACAATCATTTTACATTATTATTATTATACACCTTATAACTTTCAACTGGAGAATTAAGAGAGATTAACCAGCAGACATGGGGTAAATTTCCACATGTATGCGGATGACACGCAACTCTATCTCTCTGCCTCAACTCAACTGAGCCAATCTAGTACACATGTCTTTTAAGCCTTTTGAGGAATGGTTTCAATGTTTGAAACAGATTATCTGTTTGTAAAAGCAGCATAATTTCTGATGTCTGATTTTCTTTTTTGTTTTTTCAAAAACCTCTGGATGTTGAGCACAACTGGATCTCATGATTTCAAAGCACAAAATGCAGGGACATCTGTCACCTGAACAAAAGGAAGATCCAGATTCTTACAAGGTTTTCACGGGCGGATCCGGTAGCCATGCCATCAATAACCCGGCAGCTTTGCAATATCACTATTGTTTTCAAGATGTCTCAAAGCGGTTCACAGAATATACTGTAAAATGTATTGACTGTATATTTTTCAGGAAAAATGCGGCAGCCAATTGTGCACAGCAGTGTCCCACAAATAGGCATGGGTTGAGGGACCAATTTATTATTTTTTTTGTGAAGGAATTATTACCCCCGGAAAAGCAATCTGCCTTGCGCATCGTTTTTCCAGGGAAAGTTGTGCATGTATACGATGGATAAGTGATACCTCACCTATGCCTGGTTTTTCATATTGAAAATAATCAAGAGTACAGTTCAGTGTTTTTTACAAATTATACAGAAGTGCCCAGTTTTCAATACAGTAACAGAAATAAACAATAGGAAACAGAGAATAAGTGCATTTATAGACACCTAAGCCCATACTTAACTTAAACGAGTTTTTAACAAATAAACTGACAGTCGCGGGTGCTGGGAAGCTCTGTCACACTGACAGTTGCTCACTATGCACACCCTTGTGGTATCGGAGAACACATGCCTAACTCACCACTCGCCAAATAACCGGTCCACTGAGTGCTTTTCCCTTGGAGTGATGATTTCTCAGGAGTTTACTGTAGTTGTGTATCCTGGCCTCAGCCTTCTTTCCTGGTAACCCATTCCAGCTGTTGATTTTCAAAGAGCTCTGCTACTTTACTCCTTCAGTGACTCAATGAAACATTGTATCACAAGCGCCTTTGATTGTTTAAGACAAGTACAAATTTAATTATACCTTGTATCACTCAGTTCAGTTTCATGTTTTACAACAAATACACAGTTATCAACTGTATCCAAGTATTTAAGGAACTGTTACTACAAGTTGACTTCTGCCACAGCAGTTTAAAGTTCTCGTAAACTATGGGTAACTGCCCTGTCAGGAAATACGTACCATCTTATGTAAATCAGCACAAGTTGGTTTTCAATTTCCTGATCTAATTTTAAGAAATGTGTTAACTCGACTTACAATGGCCTTTAGCACTACTTTGAGATTGTTTCTTGTAAACTTTGTATTTTTGTATTGTATTCCGCCTCTTCCCTTTCCTTCCACAGCCACAAAACAAGAGTCTTGTGCTCAGCCGGGCAGCATTGCGACAATATAGGTTCCCACAACCAGGGTCTTTAGAAACACAAATCCAGACTAATCTTGTATCCCTGGCTTGAATATCATCATTTATCTTCAGTGCTGGCGGTAACTCTGATTTCGAGCATGAAAACAGCCACTTCTTACTGGCACTGAATTTAAATATGCTTCTTTTTACTACACATTAGACCCTGACTAACAACTGCTGACAGTAAAGCCTTGCTCCTACTGGGTTCTCTAATCTTTTTCCATATATGCTGTCAAAACCTAATGAAAAGGACATTTAAATGCCAGGAGCACTGACCTGCCTCTTGGATCCACTGCACTGTGTACAACAACAACAACAAGATTCCATTTATAGAGCGCCTTTCACGTCAGGAGGACGTCCCAAGGCGCTGCACAGTTGGGTCATGACCCGAGCAGGGGGGAAATGGTCAGGGGGAGGGAAGGGAGGGAGAGAGGAGGGGGGAAATGGTCAGGGTGAGGGGAGGGAAGGGAGGGAGCGAGGAGGAGGAAGAGAGTCGAGAGGGGAGCTGAGTGTACTCCTTATTTTGAACCAAAAGCTGCTTGTAAGATAAAGATTTTTGTCAAAATCACTGAGCTCCAAATAGTCTTTTCCCAGTTTTTATTTCTCAGTGAAAGATACACTGTATATTTTCTAAACACACACAGTTATACAAACAGTGCTGAACCTATATTATACATATAGTATAAATGTTCAACCCAACAAAATAATTTTGTAATGCTCTGAAAAATATGAAATCCAATATGCCAAAAATAATTACTATAATTCAATATTACATTTGTTTTATCGTAAACAGAGAATTAAAGAAATATTCTGCATTGCTCCGGATTCTTCAAATTCTTCCTTATAAAGCTACATCATATTTGTTTTACACACAATATATCATCCAGATAAATTAATATACTTGCAGTAATGTTTAAATTGCTTTAATCCCAATGTAATAAATAAAAATGCATTTTCTCTTTACACTTAAATTACAATTCATTTTGAGTACATCAGAGAAATATGTCATCTTTAGGATTGGACTGGGAGCTGAAGCTGGCAGTAGGCCCAATCCTCCTGATACAATATTGAGCAAGTCTGGTGTACCTTTCCAGAGTTGGATGCGGAGGGGAAACCTGTGTGTATTAACCTGGCTTAGTTTATATACATTTATATAAATGTGTATAAGCTAAGTTTATTTTGCGCCTTTCACGTGCTCCTGACATGGAAGGCTAAACCGAGGTCCCATCTGCATGTTCAGGTGGATGTTAAAGACCCCAGGAGTCCTGTAGCTCAGTGGTTAGAGCACTCGCTTTGCAAGCAGGACGAAACCTTGTGCAAGTTTCCTTACTCCACACAGAGCCTAATAATAATCCCTCCAAAAACCAAAAACAATAATAAATTGATCATTTTCAATCCACGACTGTTTGTGGGACATTGCTGTGCGCAATTGGCTGCCGCGTTCGCCCACAAATATACAGTCAATTCACTTTACAGTGTGTTCTGTGAAGCGCTTTGGGACGTCCTCCCGACGTGAAAAGCGCTATATCAAATGCAAGGATTATTATTATTATTATTATTATTGCAATATTTAAAAAGAGCAAGGCATTGCTCCCAATGTCCTTGCCAACAATCCTGCAGATAAAATTGCTTATTCACTGGATATAATAGGTACAGTCACTGAACTTTACAAGTTACAAGTTGTAATCACTATTTGCAAGTTGCACTTTACAATATATCTGGTGAAATGCTTTAAGATAACCTCCTGAAATGAAAGGTGCTCCATCAAATCAGAGGTCATTATTATAGTAAACACTATGACATGAGGATAATGGGGAGTTAAGGAAATCAACCGTGGAGGAAAAAATGTTTGAAGGACTTAAAAGCTGTGCAGTAGTGCTTTGCTTTCCATCAATTTCAGAAAGTGTTTAAAGACTCATTCCTTCAATTTGTACCTACTGGTGGCTTGATAATTTCTCACATACATGCAAATGCACACACACATAATACAGCATGTTGTGATAAATACGACTTGGGAAACAATCTAAACTATTAAAAAGAACCGGAACAAGTTTGTTGGCCCATAATACTCAGTCCTTAAAAAGTGCTTGTTTCTCTTGCACTGCCTGTCTTCTGCTGGGTGGTTTGACTTTCTGAGAGATGTGTGATTGGGCCGATGCCTCTTCTCTGACATCTTTCTTGGGCGTTAGGTGAAGGTGCATGATGTAGAATTGAATCATTGCTATGATAAATCCCAGATGATCCTACTAAAGAAAGACAATTTAATTAGCCAAAAATGTGGGATTGATTCACTACCTGGAA